TATTTTAGACGTTACGTGTTTCCTTCTTACTCTAGGGATCTGGGGGTTGTTGCATTAGTAGATAGAGGGGCAGTCTATGCAAGAGTGAACGTAAATGAACTAGATTTAGTGTGCCTAATCGATACAGGGCAGCAGTTCCGTTAATAGGTAAAGAGCAATGTAAAAGTTTTAAGCCGTGTAAAGTCGTAGTTCACACCATAGGAGGGCATATGTTAGAGGTGTTGGGCTTGTCTAACAATATCGTAAAATTTGATAATTCTAAGTTTTCCGTTCGTGGTAACCGCAAACCTGTCGAGACCAATATTAGGAGCAGATTTCCTAAGAGAAGTAAAAACAATAGTTGACCTAAGAAGCGGTAAGGTGGTCACGAAGTACGGTTTATTCCCAATACATGGGAGTAGCGAGGTGGCTGAGGTAAGAGTGGCAACAGCCGTTCCAACGAAGAAACCAAACATTACCGAGTTGTGCACAAAGTATGCGAAACTGTTCACTGAAGAAGGAGAGCCGTACGGATTTTGCGACAAAGTAAAGCACGAAATCCCGATAAAGAACAATGGAGTAAGTATATTCACAACACGTCGTGTTCCTATGCACTTAGAGGCTGAGGTTAATCGACAGGTCCAATAGATGTTGAAAAAAGGTATAATTGAGGAGGCGGACAGCCCATATAGCTCACCGGTACTCTTGGTAAAGAAACCGAATGGGAAATATAGATTTTGTGTTGATTTTAGAGAACTGAATAAAATAACAGAACTAAAGCCATGTGCAATGCCAACAGTAGTGGAAACATCAGATTGCCTGCAGAATGCCACGGTGTTTACAGTGTTGGATTTGCGGTCAGGATATTGGCAACTGCCTATAAAAGAGAGCGATCGAAGCAAGACAGCATTTACCGTACACGATAAACAATATCAATTTAGACGAATGCCGTTTGAGTTGGCGGGTGCACCACTGACATTCCGAAGATTAATGTCGCTACTGCTCAGGGATCTAGATAACGTCGAAGTGTATGGCGACGATGTAGTCGTATACAGCTAGACAGAAACAGATCATGCCAAGCATGTGGAAGCGGTCTTAGACTGAATTGAAGAATCCGGACTTCGAGTTAATAAGGACAAGTCACAGATGGCGAAAAGTAGCATCACGTTGTTGGGGCATAAAGTAGGAAAAGGAGAAATAAAACCACTACCGCAGAAAATTCTGACAATAAGGAACATTGCAGTACTTAATTCGAAAAGGAAATTGAAACAGTTCCCGGAAAGGACAACGTTCTACAGTCGGTTCATAAGGAAATTCAACGAAATAGCAGCACCCCTTTATAAGTTGTTGAGCAACACTAAATTTTCGTGGACTGAAACCGCCCAACAAACGTTTAATCAAATCAAAAACATGCTAGGCGACCTCCAGATGACGCTCAGACTGCCCGAACTCGATAAACCGTTCACGGTGACCATAGACGCAAGTGATCATGGTATAGGTGCCGTTTTGCGTCAGTCTGACAGAGTGGTGGAATACGCCAGTCACGTTCTCACGCCTGCCGAACAAAAGTATTCAACGATCGAAAAAGAGTGTTTAGCACTTGTGTGGGGAGTAGACAAGTGGAGACCATATCTGTTAGGTAGAAGATTTCACATTGAGACCGACCATAAACCCCTGTAGTGGCTACAAACAGCACGAGACCCCCGTGGGAAGTTAGCGTGATGGATTATACGTCTGCAGGAGTATGACTTCAGTATCGGGCATGTTCCAGGGAAGGAAAATGCAATGGCGGACTGTCTGTCAAGAACAGACATGGATGCCGAGCTTCCATTGACAGCATACGCAGTGAACAGTATAGAGGGAGACCCACTAGAACTCGTCGGGCAACAGAAATCTGATCCTAAACTTCGAGAGGTAATCAGAGTGATAAGAGAGGGGGCAGATTTTGACAAACGAGCAATGGATAAGGAGGCAATAATGTTGCTTCGGCAAAAGGAAAGACTGAAAGTGAACACATATGGAGCTCTGGTCTGGCAGGATGATGACAAAAATTGGGTGGCTGTGATCCCGAAAGACTGGCGGAGTAAGATGGTACACGAATGCCATCGGGAATTGGAGGCTTCCGTCTGAAACTTAGAGTTAAAGACGACACTACATTGTTCTTCAGACATACGTCTTACTACGGAATACAATGCCTTTTGTTCCTTGGCTGTCCTACTTGAACAGGGAAGTAATTGTCAATAGCTATGCTAGTGAAGTAACTGTCTGACAGTAACCATCTGTCACTAATTACTTCAGTGTTCACTTCTGCCTCAGTAAGTGTACAGTAGGCCAACACATGACGGCATGGCAATTCGTTTTCAATAGAAAAACTACATAAACAATCAATGGGATTTCGGGTTACCGTGTAAGTGCCAGTAGCGTCAACAGCCATGAACAAGTCCACTGACGTTATGACTTCTGTCACAGCAATGCACATGTGACGCTTCAATAGTTGACAGGCAACAGGTGTAAGGTTTTTTGAAGATGACGTATTTGCGACTCCCGACAGATATTTGTTTTGTTATGACAATAAATTGTGTATCTCTGAACTCGCACTTCCATCCAATATTCAATCGGAAGAAGCCTACTGAATATAGATCTGAGCACAGAGGTTTTTCTGTTGAGCTTGTGAAGCTTCAAGATTCGGTCAGTGGTCTCAACGAAGTTTGTATTATTTTGTTCAAACAGTGTCCCAGCCGATTTAAAAGCATCAGACCAATTGTGTTTCTTCACAGCAAATGATCTCTTATGTATCGGTAGAAAGTCCCGTTTGATGATTCATTAAATGAAAGGTAGCTTTGAAAACTACAAAAAACTGTAATGCATAAACATTTTTATCATCCTTTCCACTTTTCGAGTGAACATCAGACGGGAAAACAGTTGTATAATTTCAGATCGTATCCTCTACAATTACAGTTTACGGTTAATGTCAATCAATGAATAACTTGCTCTATTAATCTCACTGCGAATGAGATGTACGCGACACAAAATGTAGTGAGAGTTTGGATACACCTGTGTTGTAGCAGCAGCTATTGCAGATAAGTCATCTGGGACAATATCAACCAACTCTTGATTGTTATCACAAGGGGGGTTTTGTGGAGATTTAGTAATTTTATAGTTAAGATCATGAGTCAATTGAGGCTAGACCACCATCGAAAACCTGGAAGCACTGGACGGCCGTTTCGTCCTATTATGGGACTCCTCAGCAGTGCGCATCCACGAACCCAGGTAGAGACAGGTATCTACCTCAGTACATTGGTAGTTGGTTGCTCAATTTCGTGGATTGGTTGAGGTTAGACATTAACACCGTTGGATGCCAGCTCAGTGGTCTATCGGTTAAGGGCTCCGGCTCGAGACTGGTAGGTCCTGGGTTCGAGAGCGAGAGCGGGTTCGTGGATGCGCACTGCTGAGGAGTCCCATAATAGGACGAAACGGCCGTCCAGTGCTTCCAGGTTTTCGATGGTGATCTAGCCTCAATTGACTCATGATCTTAACTATAAAATCTTGATTGTTAGTTGGGCGCTTGAAGTATGACAGGAATTGCGACGGCGAAACAGACGTTTCGTGACTTATAAAGGCAATACAAACAGGTATCTCCATTAAATTCATATCGAACGCAACTACTTGATATCAATAAATGCTTTCGTTATTGGTTTTGTAGGTCCCGTCAAAACTAACACCATCAAGAAAATAAGTTTCCAAATTCATTTGATCAGCAGTTGAGAAGAAGTGCAGAAGACAATGTTCTTCATCAATTTCTTAATCACAAAACTCACCAAACGACATGATGTGAACTTTCAATTTGGCATAGTCACCTAACGTTTACAATGAAAATAAGCACATTGCTTACCAGGAAGGCTGGCTTGTGAGAACACTTAGTGGAGCATGCTATAAACATCTCGGGTATTCAGGTGTTTTCCATAAAATTGGTAAGAGAAGTTATCAATATTTAACGATACTGTCCTCGAAATCAGAAGAGATATCACTGTTTCGGATTCAGCATCCGTTCACCATCGCATACAATAATTATTGTCATACCTCAGGGAATCGCTCTCATGATTGTGATACACATTCCCACGAACAACAGTCTAGTAACCATCAATGAACTTACAAAAGATGAAAGCCGGACCGTGAATATTCATTTATGAATTATAACGAATTCGAATCTAGTCATTTAATTCGACGAAATGGAATGAAAAAATAAATTCTCTTAATAAAATTACTAAAATCTCCACAAATCCCCATTCTGACCACAATCTTGACTATACTGTGCAACACAACTTCATTTCCATCGACATACACTTGAATAAGTTTGACTACATTTGATAATTTTTTAAAGACTCCTCTATTTTGTTACAGACTACTACTAGGGTGTGAGCTACTGATATCGACATAAGTAGTATATATGGTGAGTAAGGAATAGAATATCTGACAGCAGAAGATTGAGAAGATCAAGAAGAGAAGAACAGAAATAAAAAGCAATTTGTGTGGAAATGCAGGAACAATGAAGTCTGAGGCAATTGAAGAACATTTTGCAAATAGTGTATCATAGCATGGTTTTTATATTTTACCAAGTAACGTTGTAATTTGTGTTAAATACATAGTTGGTTGTCCTCACCTGTATCCTCATTCAAAACACTACGTGTAAAAATTACCTTTAAATACGGTTGTACAGTTTGAGAAAATGATATCATTAAAGTGGAAATTTTTTCTTCTTTAACACGTTCAAATTCTGTTGTTTTTTTTTGGTAAATAAATGGCTTTTTTTCTTGTTATAATAGTTTGAGAGTACAAACAAATACTATTGCTAGTTATCCAGTTCAACCAAGTCTGAAATAAAGCGTTTAACTTTAAACATTTTACGGTTTAACAAAATAGATGTTTCAAATGCCTGAACAGAATGTACCAACAATCACATAATAGACCATCAACATTTCATCAGAAACAATAAAACACATTCCAAATATAAAAATGTTTACTTTAAACAATTGTAGTTCGTGTTCTCTTGTTACTCGATCTAATTCATATTCAAATTCTTTATGAAGATTTATTAAATAATTATAAATAGTCATTTGAAAATGTTTGTATTCATCAACTTGTTGTTGTTGTTGTTGAGTTAATTGTGGTTGGTCATTATTCCCATTAATTGAACTACTGATATCAATTGTATTTCCTTGTTCATTATAGCCACTCCAGACATAATCCATATTAAGCTAAATAACATTAAGAAAATATACTGAAAAGAAAGCTCCTCATATTTCTTATCGTTATCAGTTAAATTCAAAATAACAAAGATCAAAATTTATAAATTTATGTTTAAATCAGTTTAGTTATTGACAATAAATTTGAACAATTAAAGTCCTCTTAAATGGGCATTTTTCCGGCAGAAACGATCTATGTTTACCAACAATCACTAAAACACTAACTTTTACATTTGATCATTTTAATATGGATCAATTAAAATTCGCTTTTGTGAATCCAGGTACATTTAGTCATACTATACTCTTTATGTTAAAGGCGGTGATAGATTACCATTTATTATGAATGGAAAACAAAAACAAAGGATAAATGTGAAGTGAGCTAATGAGACATTTAGTGAAAATCGTTTATTCGATCAAAACAAACTCATTATCTATCGAGTTAAAAGAAACTACCAAAGACAACATACTTTCTTTCTGTTTGCACTATTGCAATGATATATCTAGGCTTAGAACACATCTCCGCTTCACTGCTAGAAATTTTTTACTGAAGTAGATGTAAGCGGATGAAAATAAGCTATGGATATTCACCCTTGCAATAAATTACTATTCTCGAAACCACATTTTAACGGAGATGTGGCTAGCGATGTCCTAAATGAGAGGTTAAGAAGAACAATTTAAAGGACATTCTACGCAGCCAACCTTTTCTGGACATTTTCTTTCTTGGCTAGATATAAATGAATAAATGATTTTATTAGTTTTTAACATCCTGTATTTGTTTACCATTTTCCACCTGTTTCCGTTCACATTCTATTATTTACATACTTCTTTTGTTAGATAATTTGATAATACTTTGTGATCATTATTTTAGAGTTCATCCAAGTTCATCCAAGTTTGACATACTTCTTATGCTGAACTAATAACTAGAACTTTAGGTATTTTATTATTTTTACCACTACTGCTAGTATACCTGTATTTCTTATTGTCAATTTGTATATAAGAACCCCAACACCTGCTTTTCGTAAACAGTAATGCTGTTGCTCACATATCCACCTATTGTTTTCAATCTTCTTAATTTTGCAATTATTCGTCGTTATAACCTACAGACTTTTCATTTATTCTTCGCCCGTCTCATATTCGTCAAGATGACAATTATCTCTCATACATTTGATTTCGTAATAATTTATGTGCAGGCACGCGTTCAATCAGACTTACACATAAATTTACATAATGGATTAAAAGTCTAAATTACAGAGAGCATACAAATAATAAAAATGTTTCATTGGCTTGCTACATAAGCTCGCATCCAGAACATTAATTTTTTTCAAAAATGAATCTTTTGATAACATCTAGGTTCGACAATGCGATAAAAAAAAAGTTGTTTATAAAGTATATGTATCACTCGATGTGATGAATAAGCGTTAATTTGTAATGACAGCTTGTATGTTTTGAAACGATTTATGTATGTTTACAAATGTATATTTAACATCAAGGGATCGCATGAAGTCCAAAAGTAGGCATAATGAAGATCCGTGGAGCCAGATAAGAACAGTTAATGAATATAAAGAAGGATTTTGTGTTATAAGAACAATTTCAGGAGTTGGGCAAGATAAATATGGTGGTTGCTACGTGCCTATCTGACCAGTGTACACTTCTTCCTGATCTTGTTGTAGCTTCTGTTGTTGTTGGACTTCGGTGTGAAGTATTGCTTGTTGCAGATAGACTGTGTGGTGCTTGCTCTGATGCGGATTTAGATGATTTTATCGTTATCTGTTTCTCGGTGTGCTCTAAAAACTCTGGTTTTACTCTGTCGATGTTAACAGTGTCATGTTTACCAGCTATTTCTACTGTAATAGCTTTTCCGTCTTTTCGGACGATTTTAAAAGGACCATTGTAAGGATTCTGTAAAGACTGTCGTACTCTATCATTTCTGACGACTACATGTAAACGTTTGTCTAATTCAATGGGTACACATGATTTCTCCTTCTAGGTTCAAGATTCGACGGACCTAATGGATTCCACCCACTGTTCCAATTGTTGCACATAGTTGGTTATATCTGCCGGGATATCTGTTGCACTTTCAAAGAACTCACCAGGAAAACGTAACGTTGTTCCATAAACCAACTCAGCAGCACAACAACCGATGTCTTGTTTGATAGTTGAGCGAATGCATAATAATATCAAAAGACGTTTGACATCCCATTTGCAATCTCCTCCTGTGACCGTCAAAGAGGCTTTTAAACATCGGTGGAACCTTTCCACCATCCAGTTAGCAGTCAGATGATATGCAGTGGTTTTAATTCTCTTTATACCGAAAGTGTCTGTAAGTTGTTGAAATAGTTTACTTTCAAGATAGGCTGCACGGTCGGTCGTAATTGTTGATGGGACACCGAAATTTGTAATCCGGTGTTTCACTAATTTCTTCTCCACTGTTGACGCCGATGTGTCTTTTAACGGGACGGCTATGGGCCATCTCAAGAATCTATCTATAAGTGTTAGTATGTGACTGTAACCATTGAAAATTGGTAACGGTTCAACAATGTCGATATGAATGTGGTCGAACCTAGAGCTAGTGACGGGAAAAATTCCTGTAGGATATATGATGTGCCTATGTACTTTCGACTTCTGGCATTGGATGCATTCCCGTGACCATTTTCGTACATTTTTGTTTATCTTCGGCCATACAAACCTATCTGTAATAAGCTTTATCGTGTCTTTTATACTTGGATGGGATATGTTGTGCGATTTCTCAAAAATGTTTCGTCTCATATCATAAGTTACAAAGGGGCCAGTTTTACTTATTGAGATATTACAGGTTAAGATGTACTTGTTGTTTACGCAATGTTTTGAAATAATGGTTTTGTCTAATTAGATTGTAAAAGTTTCTTTAGCTCCATGTCGAGCGTTGAATGTTTCACCACATCTTGATAGTTTATATCATGGATTGATAAGGTATTGATATTTAATATCGTTAGTGCATCTGCTACATCGTTTTACATGCCTTTTATATAACGTATGTCAGCTGCAAATGACGAATTTCGCGCGGACTATATATCCTTGCTAGTTTATTCGTTGTGTCATATCGTTGTTTCATATTTGGATAGCAGCTTACAAAAAAAACAGATTTATTACTAGTAAAGCGACCTCTGCCCACGACTTGAATGGAAGTAGGCGCTGATGTTGCTTCAAGCAACAATTAGTGTCACAAATATAATCTTTTGCTTCAGCGAATGGGACCGCACTGAAAGCAGCAACTGGAAATATACACCCAACCGTTTCATAAAACAGTCTTTAATTATTCTCAGTTCATCAATTCGTCCTATTTTCTCAGAGAACTCGAAACATTAAAGTGGCAAATTTGAAAAGATTTGGCCTAAATTAGATATCACCATAATCTATAAAATATTTTAAAATATCAGTACTGATTAATCAAACAAACCACCTGAATAAATCCTTCAACCAGTCTGGTCGGTCTTCGTTAACTTACTTATGCGTTTGGACAGGAATATAAATTATTAAGCATACAATTCAATTGTGCTAAAAGATTACTAGATCAAAATATAATGAAAGTTCCTCAAAATTCCTAATTGCTGCTGTTATTAATTAATTAATTGTTATTAACTTGCAAACTGTCAAAAAATATTTCCAAATCATTTGAAACTGATTGTCTTATAAACTTACCTCAAATATCTCTGTAGTATGGTTCGAGGAATTTCTGTCTGAGTGAATGTTATGTACCAGAAATGATTTATTATCTATCGATGTTGAGTTCACTGTTTTTGACTTAAGATTACGTCTAAGAACACCCAATTGTAAAAGACAGTTGCAAAGTTGACATACAACTGAAATCAGGCCATGACTCCAAGGACATCCAGATTTAATGATATGTCGGCAAAACCATTGAACCAGAGTTGTACCTTTATAAATTTAGACAGAATCCCTTTAATTTTACGTAAAGCTTCAATAACTCGTGAAATTTAGTTTATTTTATAGACTTTTATCATATATGCCATGTGATATAGATTAATGATATCATAACATTAATTTTTCATTGACTTGAAATGTCGGACAAAACCCAGCTATTCTGATAGACTGCACAAGGTAACATGGATCATATGGTGTCTCAGAGCCATGTAACACATGGGACATCCAAGAGTAGGAATGTTATTACTAACAAGTGATTTATCTGGTCAATTTCACCATACATATGATATACCTGAACGAGTATTATGACTTATGAATGTGTTCATGTGTTGAAGCATTTTTACAACGAAGCCTTACGTATAGGCTTTGACTTCCTTCTTTGTCTAGATGGTCGAACGACCCCTAGGAACATGATAGGAGCTGAATGTAACATTCTCCTTTTATTAATATAACTTGATTGATTTGATGAAAAAAACTATCTAAACGATTAGTTTGTTCATAGAATAAGGCCCAGTGGAACAGATTTCAAACAACAAAAGCATCAGTAAGTTACTGAATACTTGAATATGGAGTAATAATCTGAGCTGTCGTTAATTAATAAAACATTCAACCAAAATAGTTTAACCAAATTTTTTATCATTTTACCAATGACTGCATAAGCTTAGTAATGAAAGTTTCAAACCTTTCACAAATATTTATTGTAACACAGCCAAAGCAACATATTTTAGAAATTCCAATAATTTTGATGAATTTTATTATAACAAAATCACGTGGGTGCCAATAAGGGTCCTGAATTCTATTACTCCGTGAGAGGTTCTGGATGCAAGCTGCTGAGGAATTCAATACAGGGAAGAAACGCCAGTCTGTTGTTTCCCGGTTTTCAACTTTGTTCTATCTAAGGTTCATGATTTCAATCAAATTACTTAGGTACTTTAAATTTTTCACCAAACTTCTATCGCTTGAAAGTTTAGGCATCAGAAACGAACTGATTAGTTGAATTTCTAATGGAAGTGTTGAGATTTCAGTTGATAGCTTCGTCATTCAGCTTTTTCTATATTTAAAAATTGCTGACAACCCGTTTCAGCTATTCAAGACTTAACACCGCTACCAAACACACGTAAAGAAATAAGGTATGACGTGAAGTTAGCAATGCCATCACGTACAAAAAAGTGGTTAGAAGGTGAATGAAAAATGCAAATAAAAAACAATTTAACACTGTCATCCAAGAAAAGGGATATTCATTAGGAAGAATTTTGGCACATTATCGTAAAAGTCGAGATTCTTCAGAAGTAACGTAGCCGATGGACATTCTCATAACCAGACGAACAAATAACATAAAAAATAGAATGTCAGAACAAAATGAAAGTCAGTGTAAACCGAAAAAAATAGCTGCGGAACTGAGGAGATACAAATTGATGGTTTTCGGAATAAGTGAAGCCCATCGGAAAAAACCTAAAAAGAAAAGATTGGATTGAAAACAGATGCTTTTGTGCTCTGATCATGAAGTGGAAAATGCTCCACACACTCAGGGAGTTGCACTGATGATGTCCAAAGAAGCACGTCAAACACTCATAGGATTGGAATCTCATGGATCCACAATCATCAAAGCATCATTCAAAGCATAGAAGGAAGGGAACACAATGAATGTTATCCAGTGTTATGCACGCACCAACGACAAAAATGAAGACAAAGAAGACCAGTTTTAGAAGAGGCTCCCGTCAATCAGAGTGACGAGTTCAGGAAAGGGCCTGACCATCAAGATGGGAGACTTAAACATCAAAGTCGGAATAGACAACATCGGGTGTGAAGATATCATGGTACGACATGGATTGACTGGGAGAAAGGAGTGAGGATGGTCACGCAAATGGTGACACATTTGCAAATTTATGTGCATTCAACAAAATATTCATAGGTGGAACAATATTTTCACACAAACGTATACATGAAGCTACATAGGTCTGATCGGATCACACCACGGACAATCGGATCGATCATACACACATCATCAAAGTGATCAGAAGGTCAATGTAAGACGTGAGAACCAGGAGAAGAGTTGACATAGATTCGAGTCGCCACCTGGAGGATGCCAAGACTGAACCCAATCCAAGAAAGTACTGTACAACTGTGTAAACGGTAACTATAATTCCATGCACTTAGTTCTTTTTATGAATTTAAATTCCATGGTGGTCTAGCTTCAATTGACTCACGCTTTCTACTATGATAAATTTAAATAAAGGCAGAACCTTTATTGATGCAGAATATTATGAACTCAATATATTTCGTGGTTACTGTTATGTAGTAGCGAAGACATAAGTACGGGTAACTTGCAGGACCTACTATTGGACTATCATTCTTATTGTATGACTATTCGGTAACTAGATTATCTAAGCTTTATTTTGACCTATTGATTATTACTGTGATTAACTGTCCCTATGTTATACTCAGTTTTATTGATTATTATCTCCCACGCTTACGGCCTCATTTGGCCTGGTTTCGCACAAATATTATTTTCTATTTTATGGTGTGGATGTGGCCTGTCTGTCTGATATATAAACAAAGTATGCTTGAAATAAACGATTCGTATTGCCGAGGCTGCTATTGGTGTTTTGGTCTCAAGTGGACGAGTTAGGCGGATAAGGACCAATAAGGACGCTAGATTACTCATACTAATCGAACGTCATTGTCACAGTGTGAAGGTCGTAGAAGGCGTATTCTATTGGTGGATAATTTACGCGAATTACGTCCTTGTTAAATTCGTAAGGTCATAACGAATCAGCGACGACCTTGATCAAGTCATAACAATTGGCTACCGCCTAGGTCAAGAACATAACAAATTGGCGACGGCTAGGTCAAGTCATAACAGTTACTCGTCAGTTAATTAGAACCAAATATGTATTAGAATTTGAGCATTGCGATAATAAATAGTGTGGAACAATTGACGTAAGTGAATGTAAAGGATTGCAATATATATATATATATATATATATATATATATATATATATATATATATATATATATATATATCAAAAGGGGGTTTCGTGAAGATTTTAGTGATTTTGTAGTTGAAACCATGAGTCAATTGAAGCTAGACCACCATGGGGAACCTCGAAGTAGTGGATGGCCGTTTCGTCCTATTATGGGACTCCTCAGCAGTGCGCATCCGCAATCCCTAGCGAGATTCGAACCCAAGACCTATCAGTCTCGCTCGCGAGCGCTTAACCTCTAGACCACTGATTTGACGTCCAACGGTGTTAATGTCTAACTTCAACCAATTCACGAAATTGAACAACCGTCCACCATTGTCTTCAGTTAGTTGATATCTCACAACAGACCTGGTTGAAATTCACTGGTCACTGCCTTTCACTAGAACTCCACGATATGTCTCTTGAAGCCAGTAACTAGTGAGCATATGATTATTATCAGAAGGGGATTTTGCGGAGATTCTAATAATTTTATATAGTTAAGACCATGAGTCAATTGAAGCTAAACCACTGTAGTATCGGTGTTTATGTTAAGCCCATATACTTTATTCTAGTTGCTGGCCAAGCCAACTCGCTATGAGCAAGCATTAATCAACATTTATAGTCAGACAAAAATGAATGACAGACATGTGATAGGTAGGATAAGAAGGGTACATACACATGCGCTCATATAAAAGTATAGTCAAGGTTAATAAGCAAATGATAAACAAGCAACTAGAATAAAGTATATGGGCTTAACATATACACCGATACTACACCACCATGGAAAACCTGCTTTTCCTCTTTTCTCAGTAGCTCCAACTGCATTTACCGATTTACATGTAAGTACCAAAGCACACACATTAGAAGAACCGAAAGAAGAGTACATGTTCGCATTTGTGAACATGTACCAAAGAAACTGAGGTTGCAAGGGACCAGGGCTCTCAACAGTGCAATTGCTCAGCATTTACTTGACACCGGGCATACTAATGAAATTTCTCAGGCTTTCAAAATTATTAGCGTACAAAGAAGTACGACTGCTTTCCGGTTTGCTGAAGCGATCGCGATAAAAGAACTTAAACCGGATCTATGTATTCAAAAGGAGACATTATTAACTAATTACTACTCACGTAATCCAATTATTTTGTGTGTGTTTTCTTTTTTTCTTGGTCATTAGTTTTATCTTGGTTAATATTTGGATTTGTATTATTTTCCTTTTCCATTACTCAATTCTTAAACCACCCTATCACACACACATTTCCACTCACTTGTTTCTCTTAAATTATATGAACTCTCCAAACTCTATTCAATTATTACGTAATCCATCCTATTTGTTTTTAAATCCATGATTCCTTTATGACCTCTAAAATTATCACACAATTTATCTTATCTGTCTCTGAACTCCACTCAACTATTGCACCACCCACCCTTTATGCTTCCTTCATTCTAATACCTAATAACCTCTGACCTTCTCTTGCACATATATATATATATATATATATATATATATATATTACTTACTTTCGCCTGTTACTCCCAATGGAGCAATGGAGCATATATATATATATATATATATATATATATATATATATATATATATATCGTTGTCATTGATAACATTTTGTCATTGTAATCCTTTACATTCACTTACGTCAATTGTTCTACACTATTTATTATCGCAATACTCAAATTCTAATACATATTTGGTTCTAATTAACTGACGAGTAGCCACGAAATATATTGAGTTCATAATATTCTGCATCAATATAGGTTCTGGCCTTAACAATAAACTATCTCTATAACTGATGTTCGGGTTTTTGAATAATCCCGAGTAAACCCTATTATTCTACTAGGAGATTTAGCCTGTCTTAAATATTCAGTTGGCGGGACACTATTTATTTATTGGAGTCAAATATAAAGAAATTAATCCTCTACAAGTTGGTGAGCCGCATTTAGAACACGCACCATTTCTCTACAGGTCTGATACATATTATCCAATCGGATCATAAAGAACCTGACATTGGAATTACTGTTCCAATTAACAATTCACTGACAGTCATAATAAATTCATCCATAACATTATCCCTTTGAAATTATATCTGTAAATTCGCATATTTAATCCCAAAGTGACAGTTGTTTTTACTCGGTGAGTCTCTCATATATTTTTCTTTTTGTTATTGGTTATTTCTTCACATTGCATATTTCAATCCACAGCTTATTATTATTGCTATTGTTATTATTTCTTTGTATTATGTCACTCGACAATTCACCAAGCCTTTCATCTAAGTCTTTATCCGTGGGTGTCATCTCTGTACCTTTACCTGTTTTTAATCCTCGAAAGGCTGAACTCTGGTTTGCACGCTTACAAAGCTTTTTTGTTGCAAACAGGATTACAAGTCAGAGCACGAAATTTAGTTACGCAAATTCGTTGCTACCAGACGGCGTTATTGAAAAAGTGCTTAACGTCATTTTTAAACCGGGTCCTGATTCGCCATATGATTACCTAAAAAGAGAGATCATACGTGTTACCTCTCTCTCCGACCAGCAGAAAATCGATCAACTCTTGGCCAATGTGGAGCTAGGGGATAACACACTTTCCCAATTAAAACACCATTTAGCAAATGTTTCGGGGAATCGTAAAGTTGATAAACGTCTATTATATCAATTGTGGCCCAGATGCCTCCCACAAAACATCCAACAGATACCCGCAATCACAGACGAATATGTCGATCTTGACAGTAAGTATCGAGCGGAGCTAGCCTCTAGGCTAGCTACCATCCCACCGAAAAGTGTAGATGAGTATTGGTTGCATCTTCACGACGCCATGAAAATGGCGAGTAAAGCCGCTTGCGGCTTCGCGAAACGTCCCGCTTACAAGCACTGGGTCTCTTCTGGCTCCTTACAACTGATCGAAGCCCGTCGGTCTACTCCGGGTGACCGTGAGTTTGACCACAAACGAAGGCTGTTACGTAATGAAATTTGGCAAAGCTTGCGTAAGGACCGGGAAGCCTGGTGGTCGGAGCGTGCTAATGAGATGGAAGCAGCAGCTGCATCTGGTAACTGCCGGAAGCTCTTCCAACTCATCCGAGCCACTGGCAGTAAGAAGTCTGGTGTGAGTGACGGGATGAAAATCACTAATATCTCTCGACGTCTTGGACGATGGGCGGAATTTTTCGAAGGGCAGTTCAACTGGCCTGCTGCTCCGGCAACATCAACCAGCTTGTCCTGCTCCCCATGGCCGGTGACGACTGTTCCACCAAACGAGGCGGAAGTCCGCAAGGAACTCCAACTCTTGAAGCGCTACAAATCACCTGGCCCAGATGACTTACCTCCGGCTCTTTTTAAAGATGGTGGCGACTTTCTGACTAAGGAATTGACTGTGTTGTTTGGAAAGGTTTTGGAATTAGAAAGTGTTCCAACATCATGGAATGAGTCGATAGTCGTCCCTATCTTTAAAAAGGGTTCGCGTTGTTCCTGCAATAACTACCGAGGGATAAGTCTACTTCCGATTGCGTCCAAGCTATTGGCTTCTATCATTCTTCGTATGTTGTTTAAAACCCGAGAACGATTGACTCGCGAGGAGCAGGCTGGTTTTCGTTCTTGTCGAGGATGCATTGATCACATCTTCACCCTCCGCCAAATGTTAGAACACCGTCATCCTTGTCACAGACCAACAATCGTAGTCTTTCTTGATATCAGGGCGGCCTTCGATTCGTTGGACAGGACTGTTCTCTGGGATTGTCTATTGAAGAAGGGTGTGCCTGAGAAGTTCATTAACATCTTAAAGGCCCTGTACACGAACACCTCAGGCAGAGTGAGGGCATACAACCACCTTTCTCCCTTGTTCCATTCGAGCAGTGGGGTTAGGCAGGGTTGCCCAATCTCACCATTCCTCTTCAACTTTGCCATCGACGACATCCTAGAAACAGCTCTGATGGATGTAAGTAATGGCGGTGTGGATATGTTGCCTGGAGAACGACTTCTCGACCTTGAGTATGCGGATGATATTCTCTTACTGTGCGATAATGCCCAAGGCATGCAATCCGCACTTAATCAGTTGGCAATCAGTGTCCGCAGGTACGGCTTGTGCTTTGCACCCTCCAAGTGCAAAGTACTCCTACAAGACTGGTAGGATTCTCATCCTATACTCACTCTGGATGGTGAGCAGATTGAAGTAGTTGAGAAGTTCGTGTATCTAGGTAGCTACATAAGTGCTGGTGGTGGCGTGAGTGATGAGTTTGATGCACGTATAAGGAAAGCCAGATCGGCTTATGCCAATCTGGGCCATCTTTGGCGCCTTCGTGATGTTAGTCTGGCTGTAAAAAGTCGGATTTACAACGCGTCGGTGAGAGCAGTTTTGCTCTATGCTTGTGAAACCTGGCCTCTCCGAGTTGAGGATGTTAGACGTCTCTCTGTGTTCGATCATCGTTGTCTCCGAAGGCTTGCTGACATCCAGTGGCAACACCGTGTTAGTAATGCAGAGGTTCGGCATCGTGTGTTCGGGCACAGAGACGATAATTCAATTGGTGTCACCATCTTGAAACACCGACTTCGGTGGCTTGGACATGTTTTACGAATGTCGTACCAGAGACTTCCACGTCGTGCATTATTTGCCGACCCTGGGACTGGTTGGAAAATGCGGAGAGGAGGTCAGTGTATGACATGGTGTCGTGGCATGAAAGAGAGCTGCAAAGGGCTAGCTTCTGTTGGTCCTTCACGACTCCTTGGTTGGGGTCCGAGAGATGGTGCAACACAGTGGCTAGAGACGTTATCAGATATGGCTCAGAATCGAAGCCAGTGGCGATCCTGCTGCAACCTTCTTTTACTTTCTACATAAAGTATGGTTCTTACTTTCCTATTTGAAAGAGTCTTCTGGTTGTACATTTTAGTCCGCCTTATCTTTTCATCCCTTCTCTTCCTACTTTCATTATTTAGTGTGGCGCATATGTACCTGGTGCCCTTTTGTACCAATATATATGTGTTTAAATAAATAAATAAATAAATAATAATCTTGACAGGCTAGCAGACATAGCCGATAGAATTTACGAGCGAACCAAGACTCACTCGATATCACACGTATAAACAAACTCAACCGACAAGATAGCCGAGTTACGACAGACAGTCGAAGTCCTCACTAAACAGATATCCCAGCTCCAGTTTTCGAATAACCACCACTGCAAGTGTAAAGGAAGGTCCAGAAGCCGTACACGTTGTAGTCGAAGCACTGGAGAGGATCGACTATTATATGGTTGGATCGACAATGCTGATGAGCGGCCTATTCTCATGCCCGATGGTGAATGTATTATTTGTTTGATTTATTCCTGCTAATATCAAGCATATCGTAAAATGCATAACTCATTTATGATTAGTGATTTTAACTAATTCTGTATACAAGAATATTATAGATAGAAGTATTAGAATTTATGTGGCAACTGATATTAGTGTAGCCCTAATCTAAGTTAGTTCGTACGTGATAATAAAACGTTTACTACTACAACGAAAGAAATAAGTAGTGCTGGTGCTTTGTTTTTCGAACTTGGTATGGATATTTTTCATTAAACTTTAATTCATTGAATGTATTATGTATGATACCGTTGAGTCACTGAGTTGAATTCCATTTGTTCACACCTCTTAAAATAGCAATAAATCTAGATTCAGAATGTTTTACCAACCACCTTAAAGAAATTAAATTACCTGAAAAACTGCTGGATAAATAGACTGGTTCATTTTGATTATGTACCACATTGTTTGATGAGGTCGTTAATAAAGATTTCTTCAAAAATTCCTCCACGAATTTTTCACTCCACATCACTTTAGAAATGCATTGATCAGAAGATGGTCTATTAAAACGTGTGGGTGTTCCTGTTGAAGACATCGTTGCTGACGTTACTGCTGTCGCTGAAGTAATTAGGGATAAAAAAAGTGATTTAGAGTAAAGGAGGTAGGCGGAAGTAGCCCATTTGTTACAGATATGATTTTTTTAACATAATGACCATTATAAATATTGTTTCCCTTAGTATCCATGATTATACTATCATCTAATGAAAATTGTCTTTTTTAAATGATTTTTTTAAATATTTGTAATACTGTAGCTATTCGACTATTATCTTGTTACAGCTTGCAGCCGAATGGATGCCCTGTTTACGTATGACGTAAGAAGATCGCCAATCAGAGAGCAGCGAATTACCGATCGTACCAATGATAAACAAAAACTGTACGAGCAGTCTAGAATACTTGTCGACCCTGCTTTCTGTCTAGCCCAGACAGTTAGATCCAGAACAGCCTCTGAGGTATGAATTATTATATTTCAAACATAGTGAGTTAATATGCTAATCAAACTGACCACATCGTACCATAAAATAGAAAATAACATTTGTACAAGATTTAGCCAAATGTGGCTGTGAATAGGGGAGATAGTAAATAATAGACAAGGTATGAATCAGGGATGGTAAATCATATAACAATAGTTCATAATTAAAAATAAAGCTCATAATAAGGAGGACATGAATATGAATGGTTTAGTTATTTAGCAATCATTCGATAAAAATATATGCGTATTATTGGTTCATAAATAAATCCCAAAGTTATCATTCACTATTGTTATCGGGACATAACATAAATCGTCGGAATTAAAATGTACCTTATACTGAAACATGTACTTTGAAGAATGTTAAAACGAAGTTAGGCACACTACTATCACTATAAAGTTGTAAAATCATCAGTTCGAATATTGGAGGTGTTGGTGTTGTATATGACTAAACTATTCCGAGCTAGGATGAATTTTCTGCGTAATTCTATTTAATTATCAAAGATTCTCTGGTTGATGCAGACCCGAGACGAAAACTCTACAGTTTTTCTATCGTCATTAATTAGTTCACTGTTAAAGTCCTCAGATAGAATAAAATTCTCTTTATAGTTAGTGAGATAACAATCATGTGTGATGGAAAATCGTCAAATAATCCGTTTCAGTGGTACAAATACATTTTTTTCTTTGACATCCACTAATGTTTCAGTTGTGTTATAATTTTATAGTTTAGAGTCGTCCACTTTATTCATTTCTTTAGAATTTAATAGTCCAAGAGAATCTATATATATCATACCCTACTTCGAACCCACATGATAAGTGAGAGACTCGGTTGTGGTCAGGTTATTGCGAGTAAGCGATCTGTTTAACGGAGTATGGTTACTACTCAGTCACCACTAAGCAATTCTTCCCTGGATCGGTCCAGTAACTCATATATACACATGAGTTTTTTACATTATCAGTCAACCATTGGTACAAAGATTCCTACATATTCTTTGCGATAGAACTCCGTATGGCTGATTGGTTTAGTGTATATTATAACTGAATTAGATCACAGCTATAAAGGAACTGTAATTTCCAGGGTTATATTTCTAGTGAGGAGATAGATTCTCAGATGAAGAATAGGAAATCTAAAGTATTGTTTCTAACTTTCTCTTAGGATTTTATCCAATAAAATGCAGTGAAAACTTTATATAATCCATGAAATAATTCATGTTCGCCTTTGTTGGCTTCTTGTAATTCATTTGACCTCATCACATCAAAATAAAGAACCATCTCGATACACGCTTCGTGTATCTGGGAGCTCGGATACTGCTTCCCGTGGCCTCGCTGGAGTAGGTATAGTATTAAGTTCTAAGTCAAAACTAGTTCTTTTAGACTGGATCCCAGTTGACAGTCGTCTGTGCGCTGTCTAACTAAATGGAACAGTAAGGACTCGTAAAGATAAGGAAACTCGTCGTTGCCTCTTCGTTATCTCTGCCTACTCTCCCACCGACTGCTGCTCAGATGATGCAAAAGATGAGTTCTACAGGAAACTTTCCGACCTTCTCCGAAAAGCTAGGTGTTCTGATGTAGTAATTGTGGCAGGGGACTTCAATGCTCAAGTAGGTAAACTAAGTGAAAGGGAAAGACACCTGAGTGGATCTTATGGTGTCGTGGCTAAAAGAACGGATAATGGCGACCGTCTGTTGCAGCTGTGCTCAGATAACCTTCTGTTTCTTGCAAATACTAACTTTAAGCATAAGGAAAAACATCTTTTGACATGGCGACCCCCGGATTCTCCCCAACGTTGGACTCAATTAGATCACATCGCTATCAGCCACCGATAAAGGGGCTCAATGGAAGACTGTCGCTTATTCTGGAGCACATGTTTAGATTAAGATCATGCTCTAGTGCGAGCACGTATCTGTCTGCGTCTCACTGGACGTAAGAAAGACACTGTAGGTTAGCCTCTTAGGGTTCTGTTTAATGATAGGCAAGCTAAAAATGTATTTCAGGAACAACTGGAAAAACAGTTAGGCAGCCATGTAAGTTGTGCCTACCCGAGGCAGCGTGGAATGACATCCGAAAAGCTGTGGGAACAGCAGTTATATCCGCTAGTAAGGCAAACCATAATGTTAGGGAGAAACAATAGAACTCGGCAGCATCTACCGCACTGATAGATGCTCGAAAACTCATCCCACCTGGCTCTGAACATAACAAAGAGCGGAGTCAGCTTAAGAGCAGGCTAATAAGAAGCCTACACAATGATCGTGAACAGTGGTGGGTAGCGAAAGAAAGAGAGATGGAAAAGGCAGCGACAATAGGTAACAGTAGACAGCTATTCAGACTTGTTAAAGAAACCGGTATTAGGAACCCAAATATCAGTGTAACTATCTCAGATAAAGATGGACATATCATTCATTCTCAATCCAGGAGATTGGATCGATGGGCAGAACACTTTAGGGATCAGTTCAACTGGCCTTCAGCCACACTTCCGTTTCATACGATCCCCAGTTGTCCTGAATGGAAAATTGATGTAAGTACTCCAACTCTCTATGAGACTGAAAACGCTATAGGAAATCTGAAGCGTGGGAGAGCAGCAAGCCCTGACAGGTTCACCACTGAGATTTTTAAGGATGGTGGTCCAGTACTAGCAGTGAGATTGACTGAGGTCTTAAGTAGAATCTGGGAACTGGACGTATTTCTATCTGATTGGTCCCAATCACTGATTGTGTCAGTCTATGAGAAAGGACAAAAGTCCTCATGTGGCAATCACAGAGGAATCGGTTTGACTAATATAGTGTCTAAAATATTAGCTTCAATAATACTTGGACGCCTAACAAAAGCTCATGGAGAGCAGACTAAAGAAAACCAGGCTAATTTTCGACCTGGACTTGGTTGCATAGACCAGATATTCACTCTACGTCAGGTCCTAGAACATAGACCTATATTTAGACGTCCCACAATAGTAGTATTTCTCGACTTTAAGGCGGCATTTGACTCCATTGATCGTGAGGTTCTATGGCAGTGTTCGTCACTGAATGGAGTACCAAAGAAGTACATTAATCTTATAAAGGCTCTCTACTCGAACACAACTGGTCGAGTTAGAGCCTATGGCCAACAATCATCAGAATTGGTTGCCTCAAGTAGTGTTTGTCAGGGCTGTCCACTCTCCCCATTCTTCTCTAACTTTGTCATTGACAAGTTTTTGGAAATAACACTTTTACCGGGAGGCTCACTTGTTGACTAAGAATACTCCGACGACATGGTTTTATTTGGTGAAGACGCTAACAAAATGCAGTCTTGTGACCACTATAAGCAACTATGCAGGCATATTCGGGATGGGATTTTCCCCCTCGAAGTGAAAAATGTTACTTCAGGATTGGGTTGCATCAACAGCTGAACTAATGATAGGAAGTGAAGTAGTTGGGCGTGTTGACTGCCTCACATATCTTGGGAGTCTCATCAGCCCTTGTGGTCTGGTGAGTGACGAAATCTCATCACGGATACAGAAGGCTCGTCTGGCTTTCGCCAACTTGCGTCATTTATGGCGTAGGCGAGATATCCGTCTAGCAACCAAAGGACGGGTATACTGTGCAGCAGTTCGTTCCGTCCTACTTTATGGCAGTGAAACATGGCCGATAAGAGTAGAGGATATTCGTAGGCTACTAGTTTTCTATCATAGATGTCTTCGAAGCATTGCTCGTATATCCTGGAACTACCGGGTAAGTAATGCAGTTGTTAGGAAACGGGTACTAGGTAAGGATGGCAAATCGATTGATGAAGTAGTGAAACTTCATCAGTTGAGATGGCTGGGACACGTGTGACGTATGCCCAACGACCGACTGCCCCGACGTGCAATGTTTCATGGTGTAGGAGTAGGTTGGAAGAAAGCTAGGGGTGGCCAGACCAAAACGTGGCACAAATCAATGAAGTCACTGACAAGTGAACTGAGCCATGTTGGTATGTGTAGACTACCTGGTTAGGATTCGCGAGATGATATCAATCGATGGTTAGAGACTTTGAATGACATGGCTCAAAATCGTTAGCAATGGTGAAGGTGCATCCACTCTTTCTGTTCTACCAACTTCTAATCTTCTGAATTCCTCATGTCTCTATCTTATTCTCTTTCCAAATTTATTTCTTTGGATTATACTCCTTCAATAACATCTTCAAACCCTAATCTTTCGGAATACTGCTTATAGTCTTACTACCTCCACGACAATCAGATTTGAATCGACAAGTGCATCTCTGTGCTAATGTGGTATAGCAAGTCGAACTGATGTACGTGCATACGAAGTTCTATGCTGTGACTGACTGACTGTCACTGACATAGTCGGAATCATGACAAATTGAATCAACACACATTTTTTTTCCACATTAAATTGGTTTATAATTGACTGACTGAATGTTTATTGTCCACACTTATTCTTTTATTTGTATAATAAATGTTTGTAGTTGAAAAAATTTCTTTTATAAGATAACAAAAAAATAAATGAACATCATTTCTATATTCACTTTGAATTTCATGCTGAGACATTTACAGATTAATCAATAATAATACTATTAATAATATTAATAATAATAATCTAATAAATTAATAATATTCATA